TCAGTGCAATTATTTATTTTTTTTATTTCAGGTGCAGTCACAGATCAGTTGTCATTTTTCCTAGCTATTTTTAAATTAGTTATCTTATTCTTTGCTCACAAGTAATTTGGAAAACCATTTTGTGATTTTGCATTTACACTTTCTCTTAATTTCTGCCAGACAAATCTAGGCTTTTATATGTAGTTCTGCTTCAAGTATATTGACATTAGTTACTTGCATTTAGAATCCTTTCTCCTTAATTTCCGAGTAGGTTGGGTTCTCTAATCATTCTGTAAACCTACTAGTTCTCCCATTTCTGATCAGATACTGAAGCTACTTTGTAAATCATACCTGCCTGGGTATTTCATCACAAGTTTCCCCTCATAACAACTGCCAAGGTCTTCTCCAGTGACTGTTGTTCTCCCTGTTCAAACATATTCACTATTTTGTCTCAATAATTGAAGATACCTTTAACTCAATAAACAATCCCATTCAGCATCAAATGTTGCAGGCATTATATAATCTTCACAACAAATATACATCTCTTACTGCTCTTGTTTTCCATCTGCAATGTTTAAAAAGTCTCTAACTGTGGTAACTGGATTGCAGTTTTCATTTTCAGTGGATAGTATGTCTTATTTTTTGTTTCTCATCTCTTTGGAGTTAGGATCTTCAATATATTTCTAGCAGAAAGTATTGTCTGTAAATTATTGAATACCAGTAAAAAATTGCTATGAAAATACTTTTTAAAACCACCATTGAACTCACATATTTAAACGTTTTACTTAAATACTGGACAAATATAATTTAGAACTCAAAGTTCAAATCAACATATAGCCCAAAACTGGCCATATGTCTTCCAGACTTTTAACTGTTTCCTATAACTGTTTATTAATACTGCTATCTTCATCACAGCCATCATTTTTGGCAGTGATATTTTATCACAATACTATTTGTTTGTCTAGCTTTCTGATTATCAGTCAATTTTTTTTCATCCCGGAGTTTCATGAACTTAAATTCGAGATGTGAAACTCAGGCATCAGTCAATCAATCTTGTAATGTAATCATATTATGCTTGTGTCTAGATATCATTGTCCTTTATACTTATAGAATAACTACTATTTCATTATAAGTGACTCAAGAGTTTATGTGGTGGCTGCCTAAAGTAACTGTACAATACAGTATTTAAAAAAAATCTCATTAGGACAAGTGTTCAAGTTACTATCACAGTGTTTGTTTTCTTTGGGTTAAAGGTTCTTGTTCCCCTGTTAATCTTGGAACCGTCCGGCATGGCCAGGTGGTTAAGGCACTCGACTCGCAATCTGAGGGTCGCAGGTTCGAATCCCTCTCACACCAAACATGCT